GTGGGGCAAAGTGATATTTTTGTCACCTTGATAAATGAATTGTGCCAGAATGGAAGTGCAACAATGACAATTTTCCTGAACATCTGAGGCTTCCAGTATCATAAACATTCCAGTTTCTGGATAAACTTTCTGGGATGTAGACTGGAGGTACTGCGTCCAAGGGTTCCATTCCTGTTTCATGGTTCTGTTTTGTCTTTCATGCCATCAAACATCTTCATGATTAAAAAATGTTGTGACAGCTGACATGAAACTTATTTCTTTTTTTTAATCTCACCGAGAGAAGCATGTGGAGGTAACAAAATAAATTAGAGAGGGTCAATAAAATGAAGTTCCATCATAAAAGTTGGAGATGCTGTTGGCATGGGGCTCCTCTTAAATGTGGGGTGATGTTCAACTTTCTCATCACTGTTTCAGTCTTTATGAAGAGCCAGGTTCTCATGTAGGAGATGATGACAGATCTAGTCCAATCTCTGAAAGTCTAAGTTACTTCTTTAGTTCTCATGTGGCTTCCACCAGCCATATCTTATGTATCAGCTACAATTCTACACAGAGATAACCTGGCCAGTGTTATTCAGGTAGGATTTGATTTAAATCACAATTTAAATCTCTAGTCGGTAAGACTAGATTTAAATCATGGTTTTCTACATATGTGTACACATGTCTGCCTTATCTGTGGGTAGCGGAATTTCATTAAAATATTCCCAAACTAGGTCTCTTTTATGGCCTGCTGCCATTATGGGTTTTCTCCTCCAGGGAAAGAATATGATCTCAGGTAATACACAAAAAGATCCAAAGATCTGTAGAGTATTCACATTCATTTTTACTGCTTACCCCTCCCTCCTCACACTTAGCTTCTTGTGCAGATCTATTCCACTCTTAACAATCTTCTTCTATTCACTGAAGTTTTGAAACTTAGCACTTAAGATGAAAAAGGTTGATTCTCTGTACACAGATTTGCAAAGTAACATGGGATTAAGTTTTTTCTCAACTCTGTATGCTTATTTTGTAACATGTTTGCTTTGAAGAAGAGGCATGTGATCTCTGCAGACAGAAATTCACAGTTCTGAGAACTGTAAAACCAAGCACCTGAGACAAGAACTTCTAGAAAGAAAAATCACCCAATAATCTAACAGAAACATCTGGAAGAGCATGATATTGTGAATATATTAATGGAATTCATTTACCAAAAAATATAAATATATCATGAATATACAATCTCATACTACTTCATTAAAAACTAATCCTTATTTCATGATGAAACCTTTGAACTATAATATATAAATAGAAAACTATCTTTAGACAGATTGTTCTTTAAAAAGCATTTTATTTTAAAAATTTGATTTAAATTAAAATGCAATTTAAACAAAAATCCATTTTTAATATTTTTAAAAATCTTTTATCCACCCTGGTATTATTCATGCCATGTGGCAATCTAGTTTTAACTGATTACAGAAGTCAAGCATAGAAATTATGAAAACATGGGTAAGAGCAACAAAATCTTTTCAAGAGTTAACAGAAAGGGCTCTTAACTGCAGCAACTACCTGCATCATAAAACAGAGCCAGATTAAGGTGTTCAAGTGATAGCTGAGAAGAACTTTTAGCCTTATGTTATTTTAAGATATTCCCCTTATATATAAGTAATGTGATCTTAGGCTAATTGCCTCTGGGATAGGCTATTAATGTACTGTATTTATTCAAACTTATGCCCTGCTTTTTAGGCCAATTACCAAACCTGGCTTACAATATTTTAAGATGAAACAATACCAATGTCATCTATAAATAAGAGGAGTTCTATGAATAGAAAGGCTCTTCAGAAATGCTGTTTACCTATGAAAAATGGACAAGCAGCTCACCATATTCACTATTTAGGCCTATATTAAATGAAGAGATACTTTTCTGGAAGACTGAGTTATATAGTCTGAAGTGCCTGATCCTGCCTAATCTTGGAAGCCAAGCAGGGTTGGGCCTGGTTGAAATCTGGATGGTTAACTTAAATGCTGTAAACAGCGCAGAGAGCTTCCACTACGGGTGGTACAGAAATGTAATGTAGTAATAATATAGTTTGTTTGTCAACTATATGAATTTCAATAGAAAGTGACTAGATCAATTGCAAGCCATACCTTAAAAGAATTAAAACTTTCAGTTATCTATGGTTTAAGATAAGCCATAACACCATCAGAAACAAAGATATGCTGATAACCCTATCTCAGAAAATGGGAGGAATGTGTAGACAAGATGACTGAAATTATTTTTAGAAGCCTGAATTCTAAGTAAAGTTATCTCTTGGGGTTTTTTCCCCTAGGTATCTTTGTCAATGCAGGCATAACCTCAATAACTTTCAGTGAGTGATAGGCTTCTCCATCTCCCATTCCCTCACTGTTCTGCCACCCTTCAGCAGAAACAGAAGAGGTTATCTTTTCTTGCCTGTAGCTGGGGAAGGCAGAGGAAAAGAAGGTGAAATAGCACAATTCAAACATCACAGCAAAATTACAAACTCCCCGTAACATTTCATTATTGCAGGAACAGGTAACATCTAACTTCTGAGCAAGTTTTTGGACAGTGCCTCTTAAATGCAACAAGATTTACCATATTTTTAAATTAGTGGTTAGGTCATTACAACTACACTTGATTTAAACTACTTATTAAACCAGACATCTTTACCAAGAACCAGGCTCCAAAACAGGAATATAAGCAAATTAGAATACAATGCACAATTGTACAATTGCAAGCTATCACTTGCCAGTGCATAATTCATACATTGTAATGACTGCAGCTAAGCAACTTTCTTATTCCCCCAAAACACAAATAATTGTTTAGAAATTGCAAAAGCTGTAAATACTACAGTTTGTTTCATGATGGAAGAGAAAGGTTGGTTACAGACTCTCATCTCCTGCCTTTTCAACTTTTTTTTTTAATTACGTAGTTAAATTAGTGTGACTCTGCCTATGGTAGAAACAGAACAGCTTGAACTGTTTTGGTATTCTAAGAATAATTAGTATTCCAAAGCTCAGCTGAACAAAGCCAACATTCATTTGTTACAATAGGCAAAGCTGGATTTACAAAAATAGACAGTGGATTACAAAAATTAAAGTGGCACAACAGATCAGGTTCAACTTGGTAGAGGGCGCTATTATTGCATTATATCTACTTCTATGCAACATTACACAAAAGCATAGAGTTGGATATTGAAACTGCCAGCAACAGTTCCTTACTTGGCAACAGAAGTCATCCCACATCTCTACACCACACCTTCAGCTACCATCAAAACCGTTGTGCTATCTCTGCGATAAAGCTTGTCCATAATGCAGATGTGCCTTATAAAACACTACAGGGTATATGGCAGGACTAAAAGTACATTCCAAATTAACTACCCCAACCATATAGCAAGGACAAGGAATACTAAAACAGTAAATCATGGGCCTATGTGGGAGCTGTTAAAAGCAAACATAGCAGAGTTAAGTAAATTACAACTGCTTACCTCACACAGGATGCTATTCTAGCTAATGCAGCACAAGCATCTGCTTCCCTCAATAAAACCACCACAGGAAAATAGAATTGAACTGTTAATCTCAGAAAGTGAGATACGTAGAAATAAGATGATTTACCAGTATTATTTGGTGAAAGGTTCAGAGTAAATCAAGATGTACAAGGTACATCATCCTTACATCCACAAAAAAGCTCAATAAAAGGAAATTTACCTTTATTTCAATTTGTTAAAAGAAACTAGCTTATTCAAAAGCCTATGAAGTATACCTTATAATTTACTGACAACTTATAAGAAAATTGGGATCTACTTTATTGAAATATCGACATAAATCACAGCACTGACCAAGTTTCAAAAAACCAGACAAATCAGTTGAAGAGCAATCCAGATACAACTTTTTTAAAGCTTAGCTATTAATAGTATACTTTACACTAAACAAAAACATTTGATTTGTTGAACTATTATATCTTCAACTTTCTTGCAACTTTCTTGCTATGGCTAAGAAATCAGCTCCTCTTTCCTGCTTGTTCCATACTGCTTTAAACTGGCATTATGGTTGTTTGCAAGCCACTTAGTATATTGCACAGAATTAAAATATAAGATTAAAAATGTTTTTACCTTAGCCTGGCTAAGGGAAAGTCAACAGAAAAAGCCTGACTAAATTCAATTTCCATCACAAGGTATCCAGTAGGAATGCAGACTATCAACCTACAATCAATCTCACCTGTAAAAGGCAGGTTTATATCCTTTTTCTGTGGAGGAGTCAATCCAGAAAGCCTTCAACTGGTTCCTGCTTATGAACTTTCAATTACTACGGTAGAAAGCAATCACAACAGCCAACTTAACAAGCTTGTGCCTTTTTCACTGCCTGTGTCCAGAATCTATCATCCACATCAACAGCCAACCACACTCCAAAAAAAAAAAAAGTGTACGAAGTATAGATAGATATATATCAGAAGAATGGGAAAGCCACATATCCTGACTTCAACTATAAATAAGCTACTGAAGAGTTTCTAAAGTTATGTGAAGGAAGCTTATCACTGCAGCTCAAGCACGTAGGCGACAGGGTTTAAAAAGATTAAAATTTAGCCTGCCTCTTTTTCTTAACTGTTACCTGCAGGACCACAGAAAGGCAGAGGTGAGCGAATGAGTAACTAATCCGTAGTAAGTGACCTTGAGTGCGTACTGCTCTCGACTCCTCTCAAGTATCATCAGTACGAACGAGGGCTGCCGAAGACTGAGCTCAACAAGGGGAAAGTCACAAAGGCAGAGCCGCGAACAAGGGCCGGGGGGGGAGGCGTGAGACCCCTGCGCTGGAACAGAGTGTGTCTAATAAGACGGGCATGACGGGAAAGGAACGAAGGCAGCCAACTGCTGTGGTGCAGGCCTGGAAGGAGAAGGCAGCGACTTGGCTGTGGGCTGTCTTCGAAGGAGAAAGGGAGCGGGGTTGTGGCTTCAAGCCCAGGTGAAACAGCCGGGCGAGCGCCGGGGAAGTACACAGGAGCGCGGACTCACCTGCCCATGCGCCCAGGTGCGGGCCCACTGCCGTAGGGTTGCCCAGCACCCACATGCGGAGGGCATACTTTATATAGAAGAGCAACGAGTAAACGAAATAAGCGACGCTCAGCACTCCAACCCAATAGAAGAGGCCGGTGTACGAGGACAAGAACGATTCAGAGGCCTCCATGGCTCTAACAACGAAGCGTCTACAACGACAGGTGCGACGGCCACGGCAAGACTGAACCCTTCCGCCTTCTGCCGGACTGGTCCCCAGAATAATCCCGCCTCTGCAGCGCATCCATTGGCTACGTCCTCCGATGCGCGCTTTCCATTGGAGGTATCTAGACTAGCCGGATCTTCATACTCGTGGAGCTCTACAGTAGAATGAGACGAAGTCAGTCATTTGCCTCTCTCTTTGATAGATGAGCCGACCGCCCGAAGTGCCTCCGCGCACACGTGCGTGCGAACGTCCCTGCGGGCGGCGCCCGGCTCCTATTGGCTGAAATCTTGAATCTACGTTCTGGAGCGCGGGAGCATTTTGAGCGGGTGAACTGAAACTGTAGGAAAACCCGAAACGGACATTATTTTAAGGTGTAATCCTATGGATGTTCAAGACAGAAAAAATCCCACGATTTATTTATTAATTACATTTCTGTACTGCCCAGTAGCTGAAAGATTACGGGCGTTTCACAACAATTTCTCAGCGTTCTCCAGCCTTGGAAGAGTTACAGGACTTTTTTTTTCCGTCTAAACTTCCAAAACAGTAGCGACCAATGAGTGTGTAGCTCCTTTTACGTTTTTATTCAAGAGAAAACGCAAGGTAACAATCCGGACTAGACCCTGCACCTACGTTACGTAAAAAAATGAAATAAGAGACACAATTTTTATTTATTAACCTGCCCCATTTGGCCCTCGTGCATGTGAGAGAAACAAGGCCTGCCCTGCCATTTGGGCTGGTCATATCTGAATACTGCTTCTCTTCCATGCTACAAAAAGATGCAGTATGTGCACAGCATTCTTGCTCCTACCTGTTTAGACATTTGCCTGCTTGGATGTTTAGTTATACTCAGAGTCCATATCAAGCTTAGAAAATGATAAATGAACACATTCAGTTTTGTGCCTCTACACCAAGTGTTTTGACTTACAATGCCTAGTCAACCTAAGCCAGTGGCATCAGGGAAGTTCTAGGCTGAGGGCCACAACCAGCCCTGTGAGCTGTGGTTGATGATTAGGCTAGTTAGGAAAACAGTTCTTTAGACAATAATTCAATGGCCCCTGGAACAGCTTCTCTCTCAAGGCTACAGGTACTCCTCCATTCCCTTACAGCCATAGTGGAAAGAACAACATGGCTGTTTCCCAAGATGGGGCCTCAGGGAGAAAAGGGAATGTTCAGTGAGTGTGGTAGAGAGAAAAGGGGAGAGACCAGGATACAATAAATCCTTGGTCTTTCCACCCCAGTCCAGCTCCCAGGCTTGCACCATCTTTAGCTGAACTCAGAGACTTGTTCCTGTAGAGGGAAATTTTGCAAAAGCAGCACAGAGGTTTAAATTACCTCCATCACTCCTCTTACCCTGTTGGCAACAGCCTGAAGGACCTCGTGTAACTGCATTACACTTTGGGGTCACAGTGGCTTGCCTTGATGGTTAGTGTGGTTCCAGTTGAAATTATCTGAAGTTATCTGGAGGGATCAATTTTATCTGCTGCAGCCTGATGTGGACAAAGTACTTGCAGCAATGCAACTGAACACATTCCCCTTTGAGCTTTGTCCTACCTAATAAAGGATAGCCAGTAGGATATGATTGGATGGAGTCAAACACATCTGTGTGTGAAGGGGCAGTTTTGTTGTCCTTAAGGAGGCTGTATTGTGACCACTCCTGAAGAAACCCAGTCTGAATTCAATGGTATTTGAAAATTACCACCCAGTTGCAAATACCCCTTTCTTATGGAGGGTATTTGAAATAGTTGTGGCAGAGCAACTGCAGGCACTCTTGGAGGATACTGAGTATCTAGATTGGGTTTTGACCTGACTGTGGGTCCAAATCAGCCTTAGTGGATGACCTTTATTGAGAGACAGACAAGGAAATACCCTGTTAATTCTACTCAACCTTTCATCACAGTTACCATTGATCATGGAATTCTGGGTTGACTATGTAGGTTAGATATTGGAAGCATTGTTACAGTGGTTCCAGTTCTACCTGTGGGATTTATTTCAGAGAGTAAGAGGGTGGCTATTCCCTTGTCTCTTGACAATTGAGCTATGGAGTTCTACAGAGGACCATTTTTGTCCTTGGTGTTCTTTAACATCTAAATGAAGCCTCTGAGAGCAGTCATTCAGAGATTTGGAACCAAGTGTTGTATGTATGCCAATGTCACAGGGAGATAGAGTTGTGTGTCATCTGAATCAGATGAGGCTTGCAAGTCATGGATCACTGCCTAGACTCAGTGATGAACTGGGTAAGGACCAATAGACTGAAGATCAATCCTGGCATGATGAAAGCCCTATGAGTGGTACCCATGTCTGAAAATTAGGCTAATTGTCTGTTCTAGATGAGGTTGCACTTCCTTTGAAAGACCATTTTTGTAGCATGGGGTGCTCAATGTTGCCAAAGTCCAAAGCACGTATGGTGGCTCAGAGTATCTTTTTCCAGCTTTGTTGAGCTCACCAGCTATGGTCTCTCCTGGGCAGAGCTGGGGCTATGGTAATACAGCAGTAATATCTTAAAGGCTGCATTACTGCAATGCACTCTAAGTAGGGCTGCTTTTAAGACTAGCCCAGAAACTGAATTTAGTGCAGAATGCAGCAGACTCAAAACACAACCAGGTATCTGAGGGAGCACTTTTTCCCTTATTTATCAACCTGCCAAGTCAGTGAGGTCATCTGGTGACATACTCATAGTGGTTCTACATGGCCCAAGTGAGCTCTACTCAGAGAAAAACTTTCAGTATGATGGCTTTTATGGAATTACCTGCCAGTGGAGGTCTGCAGACACCAAGAGTGTGCTGTTTTCAGCAACTCCCATCTTTCTTTCAGCAAGACTTGATTGACCGTTTTTGGCTGTTACCCATATTCTATTTAAGCACTTGACTGCAGCATTTTATTCTTTTTATCTTTTTATTGTTCACTACTCTAGAATCTGTTTAGATGTGTAGCACATACATGTTGTGAACAAATAAACAACTTCTAATTCCTTCCGTATAATTGTGCCTTTAACCAGTAACTGATCTGTAAGAGGACCTCTCCTGTTATTCCAGGATTGCTGAGTTTGCTCAAGAGTTTTTGGTAAGGAATATTCTAAAAAGCCTTTTGGAAGTCCAAGTAAACAATGTCTACCAGATAACTCCTGTTCACATGTTTATTGACGCTCTTAAGCCTGGTGAAAAGTGATTTGCTGAACCCATGTTGCTTCTTTTACCACCAGGCTTGTCCTGCCATATACTTACTAATTTTATATTTGATAATAAAGATTTTCTCTTTCAAATGATTTACCCAGGATAAACATTACATTAGCAAGTCTGTAATTTCCCGGATCTGCCCTGCATTGACATAGCACAAGTGTGGCCATAAGGAAAAAAAATCATCTGCCACTCAGTCATTTCTTGGGAGGCCCTCAGGCAAGGCTAGTGAGTTGCTGAGCTTTCTTTTGCACAATCCAATGCCCTTTGTGTTCAATCCACATAAGCCTCTGAATTTGGAGGCTTATATACATTCAGTGCATGTAGAAATCACTTGATCATGATCTCAGGTAGATCATGTAAAAAACCACAAACCATGACACCCACAGAGAGTTGCTTGTTGTGTTTTGTGAGTGCACTGAATCTAGTCCTGCCACTGGAGTATCAAGGAACGAGCCTACAGGATCTTTTAAAGAACTTTAAGATATCTGAGGAGTGTTCTCTGTGGGATGCTGTTTCCTGACAAATGGGCAGTGTCCATAAAAGCTTATTACATAATAAATTTAACTCATTGCTATCATAGTTAGAGAGACTTCAAGAATCTGAGAGATCTCAGAATCCTAGCTGCCCTCCTTTGGACATCCTCCAGTTTGGCAATGCCCTCTTTAAAATAGTTGTAAGTGCACATTTGTACACCTCCCAAAGTATTCTTTTTAAAAAGATATTTGCACACATTTCTGGGGCCAGAAAATAATGCAAACTAAATTGTACATATTTCACATTCTATAAAACAAAACAAAATGGCAGTGAATTAAAGGGATGCTAACTGGAGCAAAAAGTTGGAGGCTCTGCCATGACACTGAGACACCAGCTAAAAGATTGACGGTACCCTCTGGGCGCACCGTGAATAGCTCTTTAAACAAGCCACTACAGGTTCATTTCAGAGTGGATTACCATGTTGTGCAACTACCCTGTCAGTAATGGGAATGCAATGCTGCTCCATAAATACTTTTTGAAGCCTACCAGGTGATCATCCTACACCTTTAGCATTCCAGTTGAATCATGGGATCATTTCATGGATTGTCAGTGTATTCCGAGCTCTTCACTGCTTATACAAATGGTCTCTAAATACCAGAACAATGAACCTGGATGAATACAAGAAATGTGACTGTATTGTACATGTTTTATGATTTATTGAACATAACAAACATCAGGAACATAACAAACATTTGGAAACATCAATAAGCAGCAAAAAATAACATGTCAAGACACATGAATTCAATTCAAGTAGCCAACATAATATATACATGTATATTAGAGATAATCAAAAGGGTACAGTTTAGCAAAGAACAGAATACATAGCCTTTGAAAAAATAGGAAACACAGAATTTACTGAATTTACTGCCAGTATAAATACAAAGATATTGCAGCTTTGATATTGTTGCTCTCAATGAAAGAAACTAAACTTGATTTCTTTCATGTTTGGGTCCCATTTTTTAATCTGCACTTTTTAAAAATTTCCTTTCAAAGGAAAAGTAATATGAATGACATTGTAGGGGCTAAATTTTAATCTGTGGCTATGTAGCCAATTGTTTGCGAAGCACTACTAGATAATACCATATTGTATTTCACATTTCTAGCAGCTAGATTTTAAGGACACATCTTATCCTTTGTAGTAAACAAAGGATAAGTGCAATATCAAAGTGTTGATATCAAATATCAACAAAGTGCAATATCAAATAAAATATCAAAATATTTATTTAGGATATTTATATACTATTCCTCAGCCAATCATCTCTCTGAAATGGTTTACAATAAATTAAAACTACAAAACCCATCATCCTA